TATTAATTAATTTTGTTATACATTATATAGTAGTATCAATTATTTAAAATTATTATTAATCATATAATTATTCTTATATTATTATATTATTATCATTATTCAAATATTTAGTCATCAAGGCAGATAATTCTCATTTTTTTAGAGTTATTTCTTATTTATTTCTTCCATTTTTGAAATATATTAAATACTCAATTCCCTTGTTTTTTTTCCGTTTATTCCAAAAAGTTTTAAAAATATGATGAAACACAATGGATGAAAATTTATTTTGAAAACCTACACTTTCTGGCGAAGTGCCCACAATGTCACCATTGTAGGAAGTTTACGAATTTTTGATAGGCTTCAACTTTGTAGATGATGTTTTCTTGAAGATCTTGATTAAAGATATCTTACAGTCGGAGTTGTTTTGTAAAGTTGTATTTTGGATTTTAAAAGATTGTTGGATGGTCTTTGCCCACAAGGTTTTTATGTGCTTAATTTCCATTGGATAATATGTCTGTCCTTGTCCATTTCTCTCCCGTACAAAGAGGCCTTCGGTTCAGTTTGAAGATCATCTCTCTGAAGCTTTACTAGCTGAAGTCTCTCTTCTCTTCTTCTCTTAATTAGTTAAGATATATGAGGTTGACTAATTTTATTTTTATTCATATTATATGTAACGGTTATTTAAAATAAAAAATTAATCTAGACTTTTTTTCCTAAAATTGATTTTAAGAAATCCAAAATTTATAATACATATAATAATTAATTTAAAATTCTTTTAATTAATATATTATATTGTACAGAACTAGTTTTTATATCTTTTTCTTTGAACTTAATACATTATATTGTTAAATGTTTGTTTTAGTTATATCATTAAATATTATAACAGACTAAATTTTCAAATCTTTTTATTGATCATTTTACATGTTTATCGGCTAGTTTTTGTTAAACATAATTTGTTCATCAGCTAACTTATCAACTATTTTATTAAACATAACCTAATTCTAACTTAAAGAGTCTTTAATTTTAAAAATTATAACATTAATTATATATTAAAAATATTTAATAAAATATTATTTGACCATTTTTAGACATTTAATTTCAAATATAAACAAAAATTCATTTATTTCTCATAGACAATAATTTAAAAAAAAGAGAGGAAAATCTTACTACTTTCTCTAAAAAGGAGCTTTGGAACAAAAAACTATCATAAAATCTCTGATGTCTCCATTTTAAAGAAAGAACATATGGGAGATGTTTGTAGTGCACATAGAAAAAGACATCTTAACTCCATATATATTTCATCTTACTCAAAATGCATATCAACAATCTTTAGACCCAACATCAAAACCTGAATTCGAAAAACAACACTTGCATCCGAGTACTACACTTATTCATCAAACAATCAAACATATCATGCAAAACCAAACCACAACAATAATAACATTACACATACCGAAAACCGACAACAGAACATACGATTTTTACTCTTCGTATTGATCCTCCTCCTCCACACCCTCATCGTATTCCTCTTCCTCTGCCGTAGCATCTTGGTATTGCTGATACTCCGCCACCAAATCATTCATGTTGCTCTCCGCCTCAGTGAACTCCATCTCGTCCATTCCTTCACCAGTATACCAATGCAAGAAAGCCTTGCGCCTAAACATGGCTGTGAACTGCTCGCTCACTCGTCTAAACATCTCTTGGATCGAGGTCGAGTTCCCAACAAACGTTGATGCCATTTTCAATCCGGTTGGCGGGATATCACACACGCTAGACTTCACGTTGTTTGGTATCCATTCCACAAAGTAAGAAGAATTCTTGTTTTGCACGTTGATCATCTGTTCATCAACCTCTTTCGTGCTCATCTTTCCCCTGAACATCGCTGAAGCTGTCAGGTAACGTCCATGGCGTGGATCTGCTGCACACATCATGTTCTTCGAGTCCCACATTTGTTGAGTCAGTTCTGGGACCGTCAGGGAGGTGTATTGCTGGGACCCACGAGAAGTGAGGGGTGCAAAACCAACCATGAAGAAATGGAGACGAGGGAATGGGATCAGGTTAACAGCTAGCTTCCGCAGGTCAGAATTCAGTTGGCCAGGAAACCTCAAAGAGCAAGTCACTCCGCTCATGGTTGCAGAAATCAAGTGGTTCAGGTCACCAACTGTAAACCAAATAAACCATATTTCATCAGAATTGGGAGTTGTTTATTAAACACTTTACCACCTCTTTACCGGGTGAGAGATGCTTACCCGGTCAGAGAATTTTATTGGGCCATTTTGCTGACCAAGAATCCTACTCTGCAAGTGACGGTAGTGACCCTACCCCCGGTCAGCGCTTACCCAGTTTGTGTTGGTAAATCATAAATGATCCCTTAAAGTTCATTCCTTCACCTAATCTAATTTGGTTTGGTTTTGATCAAATAAACCATATTACTTTTTTATTTGATCCAGCTTTGGTGATTGGACTTACACCCCTATAATTGATAAAAGAAGGGTACTTACAACTTGGGTTGCTGAGCTTCAAAGTCCTGAAACAGATGTCATAGAGTGCCTCATTGTCAAGAACCATACATTCATCAGCATTTTCAACCAATTGGTGCACCGAGAGTGTGGCATTATACGGTTCAACAACTGTGTCAGATACTTTAGGCGAAGGAAAAACAGAGAATGTAAGCATCATTCTGTCGGGGTATTCCTCTCTTATCTTTGAAATCAAGAGTGTACCCATGCCAGAACCTGTGCCACCTCCAAGAGAATGGCAAACTTGAAAACCTGCCATGAGATCAAACAGGAAACACACAGAGCAAATGCAGTTAGGAAACAAGAAGCATACTCAAATGCCATAAACATTACAGGTTATAAGAAGAAACCCACAAAATGATTGGAGTTAACAGAAAGAATTCCAAGAGAAAGTCAACTTCAAATGAGTTCCTAATTTATCAATGGAGGGATTACAGATATGAAAAAGTCCAAAGACTTTTCACTCCAATCCTCACAAAGCCAAAGGCGTCTTTGATGCATCAAATTTCCCAATATATAAAGGATTCGTTGTTTTGTTCAAAAAACCAATCAAAAGATATCAGATTCCAGACCTCAAGTTCTCCAAACAGAATATTGCATATACAATTAATCTCTAATCTTCCTATGCAGATGATGATCGTCCTTGAAAATCGGATATGAGACCAGCACAAGTGATTTTTCAATAATATACAATTCAATTTCACAAGAAATTCATATACAAAGAAAATTATCACAAAACATGAATGTCTTTGTTTCATACATACATACAAGATGATAGTAACATTAGGACTAAGATCCACAAATTTGTCGGAGTTTTATCCAACTTAAGTGATCTTATTTCCACTATGTGCACATAGAAATCCAACATTTTTCAACTCAATTTGTGATGTAAAATGTATAAGAAGAATATGTAAGGATCACTATCGAAACATACAATTTGTGACGGTTTATCCCCCAAATATTCATATCGATGTTACTGTCGGCAGTCAAACAGAATGTGTTATGTGTGCCGAAATAATAGGTGTGGATATTTTGAGATCCCGATCCGGATCTTAAGCAAACAAAAAGATTACGTATATAGGCAACAGGCAACTGATTACCTTGCAATGAGTCGCAATTCTCAGCCTCCTTACGGACAACGTCAAGAACTGAATCAATCAACTCAGCCCCTTCAGTATAATGTCCCTTAGCCCAATTGTTTCCGGCACCGGACTGGCCGAACACAAAGTTATCCGGGCGAAAGATCTGACCATTGGGACCAGATCTGATACTGTCCATGGTCCCAGGCTCAAGATCCATAAGAACAGCACGAGGAACATAGCGGCCACCGGAGGCCTCATTGAAATAAACGTTGATACGTTCAAGTTGGAGATCAGCAGTGGTTCCATTATACCTTCCGGTTTGATCAATGCCATGCTCATCACAGATAACTTCCCAGAACTTTGCACCGATTTGGTTGCCGCATTGGCCTCCTTGGATGTGCAAGATTTCTCTCATGGTTTTGGGGGAAGATGATGAGGGATTGCAGTGGTGGGATATATAAGGAAGGAAGGAGCAGGGAGATCTAGAAATGGTGGTAGTGAAGATTGGTTTGACGGTGGTAGGAAATTGAGGTGGGGACAGGTATTCAATTTGAATATGCTACTGGGGTTTAACAACTTCCCTAATTGCAATTCTACCCCTCAACTATTGTTAATTACAATAACGACTATTTCATATTTGATTTTGTTAAATACGACAAAACATATCAAACAAGAAAGTATAATTAAAACATAACAAAGTTGTAATATGTACAATTTAAGTTATTGCGTACTCTTTTAATAGGATCAAATACTTAGTATATTCTTTTAATTGCATGAAAACATAGTATCTTCTTGAAAGTGAAGCTTTTGAAAGTAGATTTTTCAAAAATATAAATAGAACAAAATACGATTCAATTTGATGTAGTTTTCCCCACATACAAGGTTGCTTGTGGAAAGAAAAGAGATGGTACATTCCATCAGGTCCGTTCAGGGCCGGCCCTGGCCACGTGCAGCCCGTGCGGCTGCACAGAGCATCAAAGCCTAAAGGGGCATCAAGTTGTCATCTATTACTAGTTTTTGGTTTAATAATTTAGGAATTGGACAACTGAACTTTAACTTTAAAAACAGGCCCAAGGCCTAGTAGTATGAATACTGAATGCACATCGTGAACCGGTTAACGCCATCATTCCAACAACTAAATCTAATTTCTATTATTCTTCAAAGTTCGACTATTTCGATTTTTAAGGCATGGAGTTCTCTTTCCAACCGATTTACGGTCATTAAATTAGATTCAACAAATCAAATATGGAAATCTCGAATGACTGATTTGTACTGTTGATTGAACTTACCGGGTTGTTGTGTGAGTCACATTATGATTTATGAATCTTTAAATCTTTTTACAAAAAAAAATCTAAATTTCTAACTGATTATTGTAAAATTGGGTCATGTGGTCGTGTGGGTTGGCTAAGGGGCTTTTGTCATTTTGATAATGAGTCTTCCCCTTGCATATTGAAATATCTGAGAATTGAAATTTTCAATGCACGTGAGCACATCACTGTGTCAACATAGCTGGAGCACACTGCACAACATTAATAACATATTGTGATATTGTCTTAATTATTGGGCATTTGTTCTTTTCAATGCAGTAACATAGATTATGAATTTTACAATTTATTATTGTTCTTTTGACTTTTGTTTACTTTGAGGTTTGGCATTACCGCATTAGATTTAGGGTCGTTTGATTGGTTTTTTATTAAGTTTTATATGGATAAAGTTGTATGTATGAATTAATCTGTTTGTATAAGTTGGAAAAGTTTTTGTTTGGGAGAGTTTTTTCGCATATGTAAGGAGCGTTTTCTTTAGCTGGAAGGGACATGTTTGGAAAAAAAATGACTTTCTATATAAAGATCCCCCTAGAAGCTTATTGGATTAGTCACACTCTATATCATTAAGCCACTACGAAACAGTTATGTATAGTTGAGCCAATAAGTTGTTAGTTTCATTAAGCTTATTAAGCTGCTAACAGATAAGCCCTTAGCCTTTAGTCGTTAGACCTGTAACTTTTGAGTTTTACTTTTTGCTTACTATGACAGTAATTTGGATGTAATTTACTATTTTAATTAAAAACTAATCATAGTTTTCCTTGTCTTTTAAGTCCCATATATTGAAATAAAGTTTCTATTTTGCTAATTTCAATTTGTAAAATAGAAAACTAGAAAAAAAGAAAACACGATCTTAATCCAGGATTTATCATTTTATCATTCCATATTTTGTATTCGTGGTTTGGTTTTTATGTCCCCCCACCCCCAATTGTAGTTTTGTTTATTATAATTAATAAAAATCAACATGGGAATGAGACACTTAACTTGAATAGGTTCTAAACTTTTTTAAAAATCGCATGTTTTGTTGTTTCATTGGCTTAAAGAAACAGACTTAGGGGCTTTTATTATTATTATTTTCGCACAGGGCATCAAAAATCTTAAGACCAACCCTGGGTCCGTTCCTGACAATTTTTAGGCCCTGGGCGAGATGTAAAAAGGGGCCTTCGGTAAGTACGATATATTTTCAATATATTGTTTTTATAATCAGAAATAACATTGAATTCATATAAAAAAAGGTTTTTCCGAGTATTCATGGATGCAAAATCAATCAATACTCAATTCTAAATTAATATTATCTACTACAACATTTTTTTGTAGTATCATTGATTTGTTTGTCATCAAAAATATCATATGATATACTTTTGGTACATAGAATGGCATCATTTGGGGTCACAAAGTCGATTCTTCTGATTTTCGAGTGACATTATGTAAATCAATGTAAATAGGTTGGTTTTCCATGTCATCTCATGTTATTGTTTTTAACACCATTTTAAACTTTTATATTATGTTTTCGAATTTGAGAAGATTAATACCATTTAAAACTTTTATCATGTTTTCGAATTTGGGAAGATTAATATCATTTAAACTTTTATATTATGTTTTCGAATTTGAGAAGATTAACACCATTTTAAACTTTTTATATTGTGTTTTCGAATTTGGGAATGAAAGAAAAGAATGAGAAAGGAAAAGAAAAATAAAAGGAAGGAAGAAAAATAAAGTTTTTTGTTTGTGTTTTTAATAGAGAAGAGAGAGATGAAGGAAAAATAATGAAATAAAAATAAATTTTAATATAGTTTTTTTCCTTTCCCTAAAAAAATCTCGAAAACAAAATATTTTTCTTCTCTCATTACTTTCCTCTCTTTCCTACGTAATGAACGACAAATTAACCTCTTTAGGTATTTTTTTTCTCCAGTATATACAATTCATACATGTTTGGGTATTTAATAGTTACTGTATACCAAAATCTTTTCTTAGATACTAAATTTTTTATGTGTCTTGTATTTACTAATTTTTTTGAACTATTATTATTTATATATTAAAAAAATTTGGGCCCCTATTTTTTATATGCCTTGGGCATACGCCCGGCTCGCCCTCCCTCCCCCCCCCCCCCCCCTCCAGGGACGACCTTGCATTCCACAAATGAATAGAACTCCAAACTGTGTCCACTTGGGGGTAAAAGCCTACAATGCGATGTTCGATTCAAAAATGGAATGCAAGGGAGAAAGGGAGAAGGGATAAGTTTGAGTCTGATGCAAGCAACATGAGTTAATAATTTGAGGGGAAATCAGGGGTGGCAACTTATGTGTAAGATGTTGAGGGATAGAGGGGCTATTCTTTATTTAAGTGAAAAATGGATTAGCAAACATTATACAAATATATTGTTTAAGTTACTTATGAAAGAGAAAAACAAAGGTTTTTTTGTTGGAAATGCAGTATAGTAGATGTACATGAGGATTTAGACATGTTATGAGGGTATATCTTGTAAGAGTAGATCGTAGAGAATGGAAATAGAAAGAAACGGAATCAACTCCATTGTTCGGTACAAACAAATAATCAATCTAAGAAATGGGATGAATAATGTGTTCTCGTCCCCTTGTTGTAATTGTAGTTGTCTATGATGTGTTTGTGCAACCCAATTTCCCTATTAATTTTTATGTTTGCTTGTTTGCACACACTCTTGCTTGTTTCATCCATTCTTTTTCTTCCGAAATGGGGGATTTTCACAAAAACATCATCCTTGTCCCATTTGTACAAGGATAAGATCTATGGCATCTTATCCTTCCTACACATTACTTCTATACAGAATCTACTGGGTCTATTTAATTTGATTTTGTTTCGTTTATACAATGACAAGACCTAACTTTTACAATTGTTCCATCTAATGCTCCAAATAAACCCTCCACAGGGGGGGAAAACCTTCATAAATACCATCCACATTATTATGAAAATATAATTATAATAAACTAACCTTAAACTGTGTATGTTTACATTTTTTGTGTCGTATATATTAGAGCCAACCACACAAACCGTAGTACATGTGCGGGTCCAAATTTTCCTCAAACTATACCGTATTTTACAATGTCAAAAAAATGTTGCAGTTTTTGTGAGTCATTATCCAACTTGTATTACAATCCATACAATAAAAGTTGTAGTTCATACAACTAAAAGTTGTAACAAAAACATAATAAAATTTTGCTATAAACATTTACAAGCAATAAAAAGCTACAATAAAGAAACACTTCAAATGTGATTTGTCACTACTGATACTTGATCCCATCTGCATGACATTTTTGCAAACACTGACCTATGGAAAAAGGATTTTGGAATTGAGAAGACAAAAGTTGTGGTGGATTTATGTTGTGTTTCATGATTTTGATTGTGAAATAGCAATTTTACAAAGGTCACAACACAAAATAGCAAACCTTTTTGGTTTGCTAAAAATTGGCCATAGAGTTCGTAAAGTGCTTGATGAACTCCCATTTTTGAGAGATGATGTTATTGGTTGGTACCTACGAAAAAAAGTGTCGTTTGTCATCTTGTAAAAATAAAGAGTTCCTAAAAAAGGACATCTCACAAAGTAAGAAGGGGGTTTTCAAACAAGGCATTCACAAACCACAAGTATTTTTCTGCAATAAAATATCCAATATTTATACAGATAGGCTGAAGAAATGTATATTACGAATAAAAGGGGAATTCGCAGTAACACTCTACAAAGGTTATTTTTGTTGAATCCAATTGCCAAAACTAAATATTCCAAATTTTTGTTGAGTAGCACATATCAACTTTCTGCATTTAGGGGTTGTTTACCAAACACTTACTTGGTAAAGTGTTTATTGGTAAAATTTAACACTATTATTTACTTATCGGGTAAAATTTTTAGTCCACCAAAACAACATCGTATGCAACAATTTGTCCGGTAAGTGCTTGCCGTGGTAAGAGTCGTCGCCCTCACTTATCGGGTAAGACTCTTGGTCCTTGTTTCGCTCTTACCAGGTAAGATTATTGGTCCTTGTTTCGCTCTTACCAGGTAAGATTATTGGTCCTTATCATATTCATCTTGTAAGATAACGTGACTTGATAAACATTTACCCGAATAAATATTTGGTAAACAGCCTTTTAGTGTTTTAC